TAAATGTAGCCTAAAGCCCTGTTGAAGCATCATATGATATACGACGAGAGTAATATCTACAAACGGCGGTATTCAAATGAGGTTTTCGACAAGGCATTCACGTTGTTCTTTTTGTTGTACATTTTGTTGTTCTCTTCTTTCTTTTCGGCTCTTATGAAAAATGCGCAGCTGCTAGTGACTACTAGGCGGACGACAAATACCCACACGAGGTCGCTACCTCACCAAAGTTCAGTAGTCTATTATACACAATAGCTACACCTACAATAATACTTTGATATGAGAGTTTGTCAAATAACCCCGAAGCAATCATTCGTTTATAGGATCATTTTGAACTTTATTTTTAACGTTATTTTCCTGTGGGTCACGCTATGCGGTAATTATTGAGACAAAAGTTACATCCATTCTCCAAACCGATTATAGCCTATTATTTAGGGTCACGGGAGGAGCGCTTTGAGAAAAATATGAAAAATGTAAATATGAAATATTTGACACCATCCGACTACTCAAAGGGAAGAAAGCAAACACGTCATGAATCTGTCAGTGTTAAGCGAGTTTGAACTCGTTTTAAAGTCAGGTATTCGTGCGCACATTTGGGTGTGGCCAAAGAAGCAGGCGCGCGTGCCCTAGAGGTGAACCCATCACACTTCAGCACGCAGAGCTCGCGAGATGCCTAAATATCTGTGAAACGTTCATTTAAACGTGGTCCATACAATTACTTAAAAATTAAGTTAACCATTTCTCAAGTGAGTTTTGTTTCCGTTTGTCTTTTTCGCAGACTTGAGCAGCGCAGATTTGAACAGCGTAGGCTATTTGGCGGTCGAATACCAGATAAGTAGCCTCTTATCTGCAGCCTCTTATAGCGATAACCTAAACTAATTAATGGATCGTTTAAAGTTGGTTCTGCAATATTTCCAGTCAAATTCTGAGTCCATCTCCAATGGTATCTGTATAATATTGTCACTGATAAGCGTCAAGTTGTATACAAGTTTTGATTTCAACTGCCCCTGTTTACCGCAATACAATAAGATGTACGCACTAGGGGTCATGTTCGTCCCTCCAATTATATTGTTCCTTTTGGGAGTGTTAGTTAATCGTCATACTGGGGTGCTGATGGAAGAGTGGGTCAGACCCCTGGGCAAGAGGACAAAAAATCCAGCAGTGGTAAAGTAAGTTTGAAGCGAAATAATATTCATAATATTAGGCTACTCATTTATTATTTATATTAATGTTAATACTAATATTAATTAGTACTTATATGTACTTGAAATGTAGCCTAATTACCAAAGAAAGTACTGGTAATAAGGTAACTAAATGGGGTAGGGTTAGGTTTAGGGTTAGTACAGTTATTACCTAGTTATTGTAATTACATTAATAAGTACAGTATGTACACGAGGAACAGGACTGTAAAATAAAGTGCTACCAAAACACTTATATTATCCTTCTCCTAGATTTTTACTGTCATCGATGTTGCAACGTTCCTTTCTGGCCCCCATGGTCTGGATTCTGATGACGCTCTTGGATGGAAAATGTTTCATCTGTGCGTTTAGTATGAATGTAGACCCTAAATATTTTACAGGAATACCAAACAGCACTGGCCTGGAATTGATCAAGATCATGGCTAAGGTGCCTTGCAAAGAGGATGTCATCTTCAAAAACAGCAGTTTTCGGAAAGCTGTCTCACGCTATGTGCGTTGTTACTCTCAGGTGAATGGGTTTTCTCACATTTTTTGGTGCATTTTTTCAATACTTACATTGTCTTTAGTCAAAGAACCGTGATGTCAATGCCATTTTTGACTTGATAGCTGCTAAGTAAGATTGAGCTGTACAAAG